CTAATACGTTATTATCTTCAGACCTTAGCAACAGTTAGCCACACAGTACTTAATACTTTATTATCTTCAGACCTTAGCAACAGTTAACCACACAATACTTAATACTTTATTATATTCAAACCCTAGCAACATGTCCACAGAAGTAACTAATATGTTATTATCTTCAGACCCTAGCAACAGTTAACCACACAGTACTTAATACTTTATTATATTCAAACCCTAGCAACATGTCCACAGAAGTAGCTAATACGTTATTATCTTCAGACCCTAGCAACAGTTAGCCACACAGTACTTAATACTTTATTATATTCAAACCCTAGTAACATGTCCACAGAAGTAGCTAATACGTTATTATCTTCAGACCCTAGCAACAGTTAGCCACACAGTACTTAATACTTTATTATCTTCAGACCCTAGCAACATGTTCACAGAAGTAGCTAATACGTTAATTATCTTCAGACCCTAGCAACAGTTAGCCACACAGTACTTAATATTTTATTATATTCAAACCCTAGCAATATGTCCACAGAAGTAGTTAATATTTTATTCTCTTCATACCTGACCAAAAATCTCGAGTGTAAAAAACAAACAAACAACGAAATAAAATAATTGCTCAGGAAACATTTATTTTCGTTCCTTTGGTTGCTACAGAAATACGAACAACTATCATTTGTTTACACAAGATATTGGTGATTAAATGATACACACACACACATATCTGATACAATGTAACAATAGATATAATTAAAGCTCATTAATTTAGTGCTTTTATCTGCGTACAAGCTTCTCGATGAAAGAGGCATAAGATATTTCACATTTCTTACAAATAAATGACTGTAGAAAGATCGATTTCTTTCTTTCTGGCCTTTATTTATTCAATTTATCATAATACCTGCAATTTTATAAATACAAATAATATAGATATTTCCCCTGATACAATTTTAACACTCATTAATTTCCCATATCGACTGATCTAATCTTGTTGTTTTATATTTAGCTGTGGGATCAAACTTTTAGCTGAAGTATCTTTTAAAAGTATCTTTTTAACTTTTAGCTGAAAATTCTGTCGTCTCACTTTAAGTTGTTACTATTACGTCTTTTTGTTTTTTACACATTCTGTATGTGTGACTTCAAGGTCTAGCACTATCATCTTACGGCTGTTTTACACATTCTTTGTGTGACTTCAAGGTCTAGCACTATCATCTTACGGCTGTTTTACACATTCTTTGTGTGACTTCAAGGTCTAGCACTATCATCTTACGTCTTTTTTTTACACATTCTGTATGTGTGACTTCAAGGTATAGCACTATCATCTTACGTCTTTTTTTTTACACATTCTGTATGTGTGACTTCAAGGTCTAGCACTAATCATCTTACGGCTGTTTTACACATTCTGTATGAGTGACTTCAAGGTCTAGCACTAACATCTTACGGCTTTTTACACATTCTGTATGTGTGACTTCGAGGTCTAGCACTAACATCTTACGGCTATTTTACACATTCTGTGTGTGTGATTTCGAGGTCTAGCACTAACATCTTACGGCTATTTTACACATTCTGTGTGTGTGACTTCGAGGTCCAGCACTAACATCTTACAGCTGTTTTACACATTCTTTGTGTGTGATTTTGGGGTCTAGCACTAACATCTTACGGCTATTTTACACATTCTGTATGAGTGATTTCGAGGTCTAGCACTAACATCTTACGGCTGTTTTACACATTCTGTGTGTGTGATTTCGAGGTCTAGCACTAACATCTTACGGCTATTTTACACATTCTGTATGAGTGATTTCGAGGTCTAGCACTAACATCTTACGGCTATTTTTTGCTTAACTTCAGGATCATTATCACCTCCATCACTAGTTTTTATGATTGACTCGTACTTAACAAATATTGCCCCCTACCCTGCTAGTGAAGCGGTATGTTTCTAGACATATATCGCTTAGAATTGAGTTTCGATTCCTACGGTGGGCACAATACAGATAGCCCATCCTGTAGTTTTTTGCTTTCCACCTAACAGTAACATCTTAAACACTTCTTTCACAAACCTCTTATGTCGGAGTTCAAGGTCACGTTCATATTTTCATAATTTTAGGCCAATAAAAGAAAAACGTTTAAACGACACGCACTTGAACAAAATAGTGATAATTTAGAAATACACAAACATTTATTTGAAACCTCGGTTTCGGATTGATGAAAGTTTCAAGAAGTATTATGTAAAACAATAATAGCATATGTCAATTTCACAAGTTTTCATTTCTGACATCCAGGTCAAACACTAATGGGTTATGTTTTTTTCACAAGTTTTTATGTCTGACATCCAGGTCAAACACTAATGGCTTATGTTTTTTTTCACAAGTTTTTATGTCTGACATCCAAGTCAAACACTGATGGCTTATGTTTTTTTCACAAGTTTTTATGTCTGACATCCAGGTCAAACACTAATGGCTTATTTTTCTTTCACAGGTTTTTATGTCTGACATTTAGATGAAACAATAATGACGTATGTTTCTTTCACAAGTTTCTATGTCTGACATCCAGGTCAAACACTAATGGCTTATGTTTCTTTCACAAGTTTTTATGTCTGACATCCAGGTCAAACACTAATGGCGTATGTTTCTTTCACAAGTTTTTATGTCTGACATCCAGGTCAAACACTGATGGCTTATGTTTCTTTCACAAGTTTTTATGTCTGACATCCAGGTCAAACACTAATGGCTTATGTTTCTTTCACAAGTTTCTATGTCTGACATCCAGGTCAAACACTAATGGCTTATGTTTCTTTCACAAGTTTCTATGTCTGACATC